TATATATGAGTACCAGAAGTAGGAAAACTATGGGTAATTATAACAAGTTTTCTCCTCATTTAAAAACTCTTTAAAAGACAGCTGATTTGCTAAAGCAAAATTATTAAACATAGATTCTGGGCTTATACCACAAAAAAGAAGTAAAAGATGGCAATAACAGCATACAAAGTGAAAGAGAAAAAAATACACAGCTATTGTAGAAAGAAAGGCTCCTGCATGCTGAAAATAAACTGTGGTGAATTCAATACTTACACTGCAAACCCTGAGGGAGTCACTACAAAGAGAGGGGGATAGGAGGAGATAAATCAAATGGAATCATTAAAAAAAATGCTAATCTAAAAGGAGACAAAAAGGAAAAAAAAGAAGACATAGACAACTAGAGATCTAAGACCATGGTAGATTTACAACCATTAATTAATGATCGATTTTTCAACCATTACATTAAATGTGAGTCGTCTAAATGCCTTAAAAATACAGAGATTGCAGAGTTGGATTTATTTTTAAAGCAAGAACCAACCCAACCTCAGTCAGAACTTGATACTTGTCACTAACTCCTTCAGGAACTCATCATAAGTGCCCAAATTGGTGAGTACTAAATGAATTTTTCCCATAAAAATAAACTGAAAATATTTGTTAAAGTTCTGCAGAATTTCCACATTTTAATATGTTAGTATTAGCCTTGTACTGGGTTAAATATAAGCCTTTCAGGCTTTGTGGTATTTACTCGTAATCTTTTTGTGATCCGTGATTAACATAAAAAAATGGACAAAAGTATGAGATGGTAACAATGAGTGTGCAGGGTCTGCACCGTTCCAGAGGTACTGTGAGACGAACGCCAGCCCCTTTCTCATCAAACTCCAATGTGTACAGTGCTATGGATGCAGTTACTATCTGTAAGAAATGTATTTACATATAAGCATTTTAAAAGCATATTAAAAGTAAAATCATATCCTTCAAATCAAAGTAATTACAAATCAAAGTAATCTGGGGCTCCTAATAACAAAGGTAAAGGCAGAAACTGGGGAAAACAAAATCATAGAAAGAGTAGAGAAAGGTAATAAAACCATGTGAAGAAATTAAAAAAGATAAGCATCTAGTCCGACTGATCAAGAAAGGGAAGATTCAAATTACTAATATGAAAAATGGGACATGACTTCAGATTACAAAAGTGCTAGGAGTATAGTAAGATAATACTGTGAACTTTATGCCAATAAATATGGTAGCTCATATAAATGAGATAAACACATTTCCTAAAAGACACTATAAAAATCTGATTCCAAAATACAACAGCAAAAAAACCTTCTTAGTAACTGAATGTGTAGTTAAAGATATCACAATAAAGAAAAGTCCAGGCCTAGACAACTTCTTAGGTGAATTCTAACAACCGATTAAAAATGAAATAATATCAATTCTATCAAAACTCTTCCAAAAAGTAAAAGAGGAGAAAACATTTCCCAATCAGTTCTAAAAGATTTGGTAATAAACCCAGAAAAAACAAATCTCAAGAAAAGAGAAAAAAGGCCAGTGTTTTTCAAATGCATAGGTGAAAAGATTAACAAAATTTTAGGCAATGGAATGAATCAATATTTGATAAGGTTAATTATTAACTGATTCAACATCTAAAGTTAAATCTATGTTACTATATTAACAAATTGAAATAGAAAAGATTATCTCAGAAGATGAACAAAAACACTTGAGAAAATTCTACATCCATTCATTCTAAAACTTGAGAAAATAGGAATGGGAATTTCCTCAGCCTGAAAAGGAGACTAATAAAACACCTACCTAAGGTTAAAGGCTGAATGTTTTCCCCCAAATCAAGAACAAGTCAAGAATGACTGTGTGTCCCAGTTACACTCATCACTGTACAAAGGCCCTAGCCAGTGCAATAAGGCAGAAAAATGATATAAAAAGGCAAGTAGATTGGAAAGATAAAAATAAAAGCTTCATGCTAAAAGTCTCTCAGCACCTTTTATTTTTTGGGAGGAGTATTACAAATTTAATGTGAAAATGCATTTTGAAGAAATATAAAATTAAAACATATAAAGAATAATATCTAATACATATCAGCCCACTGA